TTTTACTCTTTTTTAATAATAACATATAGATATAGTTATACTATGAAAATATCGTACATTTATTTATATTATTTTGAGAGTATGACATTTTAATTTAAAAAGTATATAAATTCGTTTAAAAAAATACGACTACCTCACCGTTAGATCTGCCTAAAAACGACCGACTCGACGTTGGAATATAGTCGCGTTCGGTAGCAATCTAATCTCCAAACAAGTCCTATAAAGGAGGGAAAAAGATGTTAGAAGAAAATAAAAATAGAGATTGTATGTAGTATATTGAATGGGAAAGATGTTGATTGACAAGAACTCAACGTGACGCCTTAAGTTGGTTTCAACAAAAATAGACCAATCGTCACCGTCCAAAGAAGTGACTTCCCAACTAGAGGCTAAAACGTTGCTACTTTGGGTTTGGACAAATTCATAACTACTGATTTTTAAAAGTAAAATGTTTCACCATCAGATTTGAAACGTGGGTATTCAGCGTAGAGGGCATTGAACTGTGTTAGAAACACGGAATTGCAGTATGTTTTTCGAAGTGTGTTGTAACACCATAATAATAAGTAAGGGATGAAAACGGTGCGGTGCGGTGCGGATAATGCCTTTCTCACATCCTAATCCATTTTATTTGTGCGGATTTGGAGCGGAGCGGATATTGGGCGGATACGGATGTGGATGCGGATTGTTTCGGATATCAGAGATGGTACGGATTCGGAGCGGAAGAGGATCGGATGCGGATTTATATAGTCGGATAATACATGCTTCTACTCAACTCTTTATGACGAATAATAATTAATAAAGCAAAGTTGCAAGAAAAAATAAAAAGAACACAAAACATTGAGTTCCTTAGGTACTTAGCTAACGAGACGAGCCAAGTACATAGCTAGTTCACAACTAGCTAAGCTAAATTATTACAAGTTCGTTCATTCTCAACTTAAAGAGATTGATCAAATAAATTGATCAAATTTTCCCAAAAATAAATTGATCAAATTTTTCCAAAATAAATAAGAGATTCAAAATATCTAGATCTCTAAAATTGTCGGAAGTAACAAATTAATAATTTTGCTGATGAGTGATATTGGTTTGAAAAAGATTGAAATTTGAAGCTGAATATAAAAAACAAAAATTGAAAAGGCTATTTATAATCGATAAAATTGATTAACGTACCGTTGGATTTTTGGAATGAGAAATATGCTGAAGATGAAGTTAACAGTTGGGAAGATGATAAGGTCAGAGAGACGAAGACAGATCGGCCTCCTTGTTCGCTGATTGCTAGTCTTCATTAATTATGCATTTATTTATATTTTTTTTTTGGGGAATTTTTATTTATACTACATGATTTAGAAAAAATTATAATTATACCAGGGGTTAAATTTTATTTGCAAGTTTACCAATTTTATGTTAATTAATTATACATGTACACTACAACAGAATATTTTCAGTTACCATATTTAATGTAACCACCTCCTCAAATGATGAGATTTTCAGTTACGGGTATAATGCGTGTCAATTTCTTTCCATCCCAATTCCACGCAGTATATATATGGCGTATATATTCAGTATATAAACTAATTAATATATCTGAAAAAACATGTATTATCTTCGTTTTGAAACCGATTTATGTAAATATGTTGTATATTTTCTGAGTTTTTTTTCGATCTGATGTTTAT